GCGGGAACCCCTTCCACTAGACCAGGTTGCTCAAAGCCTCATCCAGCCTGGCCTTGAACACTTCCAGGGAAGGGGCATCCCATCCACACCTAATTCCACACTAATGCCACTACTGACACTTCTGAAAAGCCTATCGGTGCCTCCAGAGAAATTCTATACACAATTTTAAGTATAAAAAGAAATCACATATATATATTATAACTTTACTTTAGGAATATTATTTATTATTAAGATAACTAATATTATGCTTTTATTATTTATAATAGTATAAAAATTAAATTACATACACCTAATTCCACACTAATGCCACTACTGACACTTCTGAAAAGCCTATCGGTGCCTCCAGAGAAATTCTATACACAATTTTAAGTATAAAAAGAAATCACATATATATATTATAACTTTACTTTAGGAATATTATTTATTATTAAGATAACTAATATTATGCTTTTATTATTTATAATAGTATAAAAATTAAATTACATACTCTTCTTTGAGAACAGAGTTTCACTTAACCATAAAAAAGGGCACTCTTAGGTTGTATTTACACGAGCAATTAAATGAGAAGCAAATATGGCTTTATAGTAAATTAACAACTTTATGTTACTGCACCTTCCAAAATATTTTATGAATTAACAGAAGTGAAGGAACCAGCAATACTGAATTCATGCATTTGTTTCACAAGGACATTCAAGCAGCCTGTAACACCTATAGGGAAGCAGCATTATATATACATACACCACATATAGGGAGCAGTCCTCCACAGGACTGGGCTGTGGAGTTGTGCACTGTTTCAAAGCAGCTTCCCCACATAACTGAGATGTCAAACTGATCCACACAGAAACATGAGGAAAACATTGTCCTTAAACAAACAAAACACATGTTTTTCTACACTGATTTTTTTCACTCACTTGCTGAATTACGTCAGGATAAAGCATAGGGAGTCTCTCTGCAATGAGCGCCAATCCACCCATTCCAGCAAAAACTTGCAGTGGAGACTGAATGGGACAGGTTTCGAGAAGGGATTCATCTAGCACTGCATCCATACACTCATCCCCAGGACTGATGGCTTCATCTTCAGGGCAAGGCCCTAGTAAATCCGCATGTTCTACCAAAAAAAAAAATAAAAAAAATCGACAGGGGTAAAAGAAATTAATACCTCATCATCAATATTGTGTTTATTTTTTCATCCTCCCTGAAAAGCGTACTTCAAAAGTAGCAGTTCCTCCTTAAGAAAAACCTGAGTCAAGAACCTAAATTAAATGATTACCAGGGTATCAAAAGAAAAAAAAAAAAAGTGATACCTTTTGCCCATGATGGCAGATCCATGCCATAATTTGGGATTCCTTATACAGGGTTACACGTTAATTATTAGAATTCTATAATTTATTAGATTTTGACCTATGTCTTCCAAATTTTGTTACCTTTGGAAGTGTGACATTTTTTAACAATGTCTTTCATCTAGGAGATAAGAGTAGGTTTGTTACACTCTGAGAAAGTCCTATCACCTCTCACTCACCACACTTCACATTCTCACATCTTCGGTGAGGTGTCAAAATACCCCTCTGCCAAGCTACCAACTTTCTACTAGCCATCATCCTCCCAGTTTATGACTAAGCACTGTAAGATCATGTACAATGGACAAAAACACACTTTTTCTTTCCAACTGCTCACTTTCTTGTCTTTTCTAGGAGATTGATCTATCAAGTGAACAATTATTACATGAAACCCCTGTCTTAAAGGAGCCAAATGATTGATTTTGCAATTCTATGCTGTGTCAGCAGGCTGGTGATCAGTAGATCCCCTTAGCTTAATTTGAAGGTCCCATTCCTTTAAGTTGTTCCCTAAATGAATGGTACCAGAATATTTCAAAACAGATTCCTGGGATACAGCTCCTCCCTCCCCTTTCCTCAGAACCATAAGTAGACAGAAAGCAATTAGAAAAAATCTTAGCAAGAAACAGATCATATTAGAAAACACCAGAAGTAATGGTTTTAAAAGCTAGAGAGTTACAAGACCTGCTTAAATGGGTTTGAGAACAACTCCCACTTTCCAAGAAGCATGGAAGTACCCAAGTTGGTGCAACAAAAAAACCCCAAAACACCCTACACAAACAAACCAACACAGACTTCTGTAATTCATATGGTTTCAAACAGCTCCTACATTACTTAATCTGCCTTGGCTATCAGCACAAAAACTTACTGTAGAGAAGTGGCATACATGTCAAGAAATCAAATACATGGTATCTATACAATCCTATCACATACAACACTACGCAGAAGAAAGAAAAGTGAATCCAGAACAACCACGCTGGTGCATCTATAGATACAATCTGAAGAGAAGCGATAAATTTGTTCTTTCATCATGAAGTTGAGCACTTGTCTTGTACAGAATGGCTCAGAAGCCTCATCCAAGAAAATACAGAAAACTGCTGTTTCTTACCAAGAAAATCAAAACCATTTTTGTCCAAAATAAAAGCATTTTAGAAAGCAAGACAGCAAAAAAAAGTAAAGAAGACCCACCTTTTTCTGTGTGAAGACGTTTAAATGAATCTGTTTTTGATAAGCTTGGATCTGAGATGACTTTGGAACCAAGCTTAACTGTCAAATCTACTGATCGATATCCTTGAGGGAGTTTACGGTCATAGAGCAAAGTAAGAAGCTGGGCAAGTGTCATTTCAGCTGGTAACGGTTGGCCTAAACAACAATGGCATCAAGTCAGAGAGCAAAGTTATGACTGAGTTATTTTAACATACATGTCCAGGTGCTGTTCTTCACTTGTGCCACAGAGGCCAAGTAGACTAAATATTATCTGGCTCCAAACCAAGGCCTTAATTTTAACATTTGTTCTCTTGGCAAAAGGGGTCCCATCAGTTTGGAACCAACTATCATAGAATCACAGACTGGTT